AATAAAAACCCATTTTTAATCCCATTTGTGTCTCTAGCTTTTCTTCAAAAATCCCATCTTTTTGACATAGAAAAAGTATTAAAAAATGTTAAAATTATTTTTCATTTGTATCGAGAGCCTAATACATACACTTATATGTAAAAATGAGAAGAAAAAATAAATACATGTGTATACAAGGATAGGTGACTTTGTAGCAGATAATATAGTTATTCATGTAGTCTATTATATATCATATTACTCCCTGCTCAAGATGGATGTTAGAGAATTTTTATGGACATCTTAGGCATGAGTGTTAATAAACAACCGTGAGGTAAGGATTTGTTGAATATGTTAGCAAGTTGATCATTGGTCCAAACAGACATAACTTGATTATTCCTTTTATTATTTTGTCTCAAGGAGTGAGTCAATTTCAATGTATTTTATCGATTCATGAAAAGAGAAATAAGCGGTTATATAAAAAGTGGCTTGGTTGCCACAAAATGCAATAACTAGATGGTATATACTTACCTTAAAATTTTACAGTAATTGAGTCACCAAAAATAGCTCGCTGGTCATTGTTACTACCCTGTATTCATGCTTTGCATATAGTTTTGACTTTGTGTTTTGCTTAATGGCCTTCCAAGAGACCGAAGAGTCTCCAAGAGAAATATAATTTCCAAAGATTGATTTCTTGTGCCATTATTTATATTCCCCCCATTAGAATTAATAAAAGCTTTTAATTGTAGGTTAGATGAATTTGAAAAGTAAATGTCTTATCCTAGGTAGATAATAAATAATTGCAAAGTGATGGTTGAGTATTGGCTAAGCTTGTGAATGATAAAAGTTATATCTAGTATTGATAAAATAAGGTAAAGTAAACAATCCATGAGATGCATACTATGATGAAAGTAGTGAATCTCCATATGAAGCATTGAGATGTATATGAGGATTCATGATAATTTTGTTGGTTTGCAGCCAAGCATACTTGAATCTTCTAAGAGTTGTAAGCATGGTACCTTTGTGAGAGAATAATGCCTTTATAATATCGTGTAATCTCAAGTCCCAAAAAAAAAATATTGTAAAATTCTATGATCGTTTAAGTTGAATTGTGAATGTAGGGTGTCATTAGTAACGTCAATAGCTTGCTAGACGATCCAACAATGATAACATTGTCAACATATATAAGAAAAAAAATTAAATTCGATCCAATGCCTTTTATGAATAAGTAATAATCTAATTTTGATAGATTAAATTCACATTTGATAAGGTATTGAAAAAGCTTAAATACCATTTCCAAGTAGCTTTTTTTAATCCATATATATATATATATATATATATATATATGTAAGTAAAAATTAGTTGCTATGGATTATTATGTGTGGCTTCTTCTCCTCTGTTGGTGCAATCAAGGAGAATTTACATGTAAACTTATTCAAGAGTTTCTCTATGGAGAAAAACATTATTATTGTTTAATTGGTTTAGAATCCAACGTTGACTAGCTGCAAGGTCTACAAGAATTTTGATAGTAGCTATCTTAAAAAGGGAAGAGAAAATATGTTCATAAAGTATTCTTATTTGTTGATTATATCATTTTGCAACCAGACGAGTTCTATAATTATTAAATGATCAATCATAATGATACTTTATTTTAATTTATATGTTCATTTACTTCCAATAACATCTTTGTAAGAAGGAAGAGGTACTTTTTCTAGCTTTCATTGACCTCGAAGGTGTTGAGTTCTTCTATAGTGTATTACCATTCAGGTATTTTAGCAGCTTGATGATAGTATCATGGTTCAAAGTTGGATGAGATATTTAAAAGACAATTCTTATTTGAATGTGATGTAAGATTTTAGGATATATAGCTGCAAAGAGAATATTTATTTTATGTGTGATGCCCAAAAAAGAAAAAAAGATTATTAAATCTATGAGCTCATGCAATACATACATGATTTATTGATAAAGTTATCATTATAAGCTGATAATGATATGTCATTTAATATGATTTAATTATTATACTAACGTTTTATAGGTAGTTTATACAATATCAATCAATATGATGTTTATATTATGTACTAAACAAGCTTCAACATTTATCAAATTAAAGTTAGGTCTTTGCTTACTTGGATATGGGATAAAATAGAATCTATCAAGAAGACTAAAGTGCTAATTATAATTCATTAAGGGCTATTTGGTTTGCCGTGAAAAGAGTACATTGCATTAAATTTGTAAAAATTTAAGAAATGTGAGTGTCTAGTCAAACAGAGTTTAAAATACAGTGTTAAGTTACAAGACATTTGAAATGAATTCTATAGATTATTTTTATTGTATTTAGAATTTGCTAGGTTTTGATGAATTTTAAATATGTTACTTTTTGAAATAGTGTTTCTTCTTGTTGCCAATGCTACATGTCTGCTCGTTAGTCTTATGTCTTCCAATCAATGTAGGTTGGCTACCATTGCTTCCTATGCTGCCTTCCACCATCGCTACTGGCCCTTTGCCATGGATAACCACCTTCCTCCCATTGTTGCCCCTCTGTCACCACAACTAACCACCAACCTCACATTGCCAACTGCCTCCACCCTTGTCTCCCTCTTCCTTGACCACCTATTTGTTAAGTGTACAATAATTTTTTTTAACTAAATAAAAAGATATAAAGTCTTACAATTAATTTAGATTCAATAAAAAAACTTCGAAGTATTCAAACTAAAATACATTACTGTTACCTTGCATTCATTTTACAATGCATTCCTTTTTTAGCAAACCAAGTAGGTCACAACTTATTTGTTTAAGGATAGGTTTTATGATAGACATTTAAGATCATATATAAAAAGATTTTAATTAGAGAGCTGAAAATAATGACTTCAAATGTTCTAATTAATTTTATTTATAATTTTGTAATTTAAATTTTTTTTTAATATTTTAAAATGAAGATAAAAAATTACTTAATAATATTCGTAGAAATGATAATTCAACTCTTTTTTCAAAAATATAAAAAACAGATAATTATTAATTACAAACTCTAGTATATCATATTTTTTATTATACTTATAGTCATATATTTGATCAATCAGTATAGTTCAAAGTGTATTGTCTGATCTAAGTTGAATTAGTCATTAAATTTACCATTAAAATAATTAAAATCTTGGTTCCTCACTTTAAATTTCAAAAATGTGAACTAGTGGGAAGAAAAATGGCAGTTTGCTTATTGATTTAAATTAAAAGCGTGGGTGCTTCTTCATTGCCCACTAAGAAGAAATTATGTGTAAATAGTTTATTTACCTCCTCATGGAGTCAGACTACAAAAACGTAGCTTAAGATAGTAAGATTTATTGAGGATTCTAGAGCCGAGTTAGGCAAGGCATGAACATAGGTCAAGAATGGCCAAACTATTTAATCTCTTATCTTATATCATTGTTATAGTTTAGTTTACTTTCCTGTATAACTATTTTAACTATTATTTATATGCTTTCATATTCTTGTGATGAGTACTTAGTTAAATATCCTTTTGCCAAGCTGTTGAGTAAATATTGTCATTGTTTGAGTAGGAAGATTCCTACCACTACAACTTAATTTGGAATCCATTAAAATTAAAATTCATTTTTAAAAGGGGTAAGAGATTGCAATTCTCCATAAATAGGCTATAAAATTTCGTTAAGTAATATATTTTCTATTTTTATTATCATTGGGGTTTCAATAAAACTTTCTTCAATAGTAGAAATGATTTTTTTTTAGAATGGAAGAAGTTAAATTTTATGAACCATAGGAAGAGTTATTGAATTTTAAAGAGTAAATATTCATTCTACATCTACTTTAAAAGTTTGAAATATTTAATCAAGTTCTTGATTAACCATTTGACTAAGTGCTATAGCATTATGAAGAGTCCAAAGTCACCAAAAGTAGTTTTGATTGACCAGGCAAATTCATTAGTGGACATATACAAACCTAAGAAATTGGTTTCAATAAGAGAAGCGACGTTGTTGCAACTATTATTTGTGTATTAAAGAATAATGTATCCAAAGCTTTAATAACATATTCTTAATTTTTTTATCCTGGTAAAAAAATCATAACTAATCAATTGAAGTTTTAATTTATTAGCTTGTAAAGTTTAACATTTGATAGATATAGACTAGGATTTAGTGATATACTAAAGTATAAAAATCAATGTATAGGCTGAATTTAACTAGTCCAAAGGGTATTTTGTCCAATTTAGATGTCATCCGTATCTTACACGTGCTAAAATGGAGGCATTTAAACTTCTTGGTTTAAGGGCTATTTGAACTAATACCATTTGGATAATATTATAGTTTTGCATATAAGTTAGCAAATCATCATTAGCTAGCAATCAAATTAACTTCTCAAAACTATCTATTGTGTTTGATTATTCCATTAGCATAATAGAGGGATTACCTTTAATTTTATAAAATAGAAATTCTCTGCTTTTAAAATAGCCTTAATTTAGAGCTTTGTATATGGAGCATTCAAGTAATTCCAACCCATTGAGGAAGTTCTAGAAATAGAAGAAATAGTTAAACTAGCTGCCATTCAAAAGATCATGAATTCAGTCTTTAAATAATAATAATGATGATGATGACATATTCATGCTCATGTAAGTAGAAAAAAAAAAACTAGAAAATAATTTAGCCAATTCTTAACTCTTACAGTCACTCTCATTGCGACAAGGTCAAACTTCAGATTTCTTTTCCTTATATATGATTATATGTTACTATCATGACATTCAATTATAAGATAAGATAGATAGTCAAGCCAATAATTTATTTAATTCATTACTTAATCCAACTGTAATGTTATAAGCTTACTACATAAGGCATTAATCTTTGTTCTCAAAAGTATTCATTAATTTGAACTCATCTGGTAGTTCAAATATTTTCAATATTTGAAACAGCTTATATTAAAAAAATGACATTTTTTAACCGCATCAAAATACAAAGAAAAACGCTGGTTGGTTGACTGAAAGTTTACTCATGATGGTTGCTTGCCTTAGAAAATCACAATGAAAATGAGAATTACTTCTGATTCATTTTCTATTTATGTTACTCCTTACAGTGATCAGAACAAAATCAACAAGAAACAAGTATATATATAACTCTCCCTCTCCCTCTCCCTCTCCGCCCAACTTACATCTACAATACAAGGCGAGAGTTAACAATACTTTGGTGAGGGAAAATCAAACATATTATAGCTAAAAAAAACAAAAGTCAATCAAAGTAAGAAATATGAAAAAGCTGTAGAGTGAAAAGAAAAAGTACAGCTTAGCCGAAGCGTTTCTTAAATAAAGCATGCCTCTTGGATGGATCCTTGGGTTTAGTCTTTGTCTGGCCCTGCGCTGTCTTCTTGCCATGCCCCGTACTGCCAAAAACAGACGCATCATGAAAAGCACTTAAGCAAGAACATAAACCATATTCTAATACCACAATCAAGAGAAAGCCGGCAATTGATGTGAAGTAACAAAACCACAAAAGCTACGCCACATAAATCGCAACAACAACATCACCCTTTACAGCCAAAGGAATCGACCAGGATACAGCTAAACACCACCCAATTCCAAAATCATAAAAACAACACAACTGCCAAAACCCTACAACAATTATGCTAGTTAGTTTGTCTATTTTGTAATGAATTCCATCAATAGAAGCAAAAATCATTAAACATAAAGAATTGCAAAGAAAAACAGCTAAAATAATCTACATGTTGAAAAAATGGCATACTTCATTTTTTTTTTTTTTAACAGCAGAGAATATGGTGTTTTCAACCAAGGATAAAAATACTATATTAAGGGGGTGTTTGGCTGCGACTTGATTTAATGTTAAACAGGATTTATCAAATCCCGTTAAATCCGGATTTACCAAACACGACGAGCGACGCCCGTACATCACCTCATAAATGGATTTAATAAATCCGAATTTACCTAGTTTATTTCACGGAATGCAAATATTACTGATTTAACGAAGCATTGGATTTAGTTTCTATTTTTTTATGTTTAGCAGGATTTAAGTCGAATCATAGTTAAATCCCATAAATAGTATGCTACCAAACACCCCCTAAAAGAATCTCTCCGAGTAAATAATATTTGTAGAGAAAAAAAATACTTGTATTCCATGTAGACCATCCCATTTGCTCCTGACAGTGCACTCATAGACCCAACAGAACGTCGAGCCTTCAGAAGAGCAATGTCATCTGCATCCTCCTCCAGCTGCTCAAGACCCACAGCATCATCTCCAGCATTCAAAACCTAACAGAATAAAAGAGATTAGACCAACCAACTTGAAAAGGAAAAAAAAATATGGTAAAAGTTAGCAACAAGGTTTGAATGAAATCTAAGACAGGTAAAACAAAACACCTTGTTTAGGAGGTCAAGTTGGTCATTCAGCTGATAATAGCTCAGTTCTGGACCTGTATCAGGCGGTGGCAAGCTTGTAATGACCTGTCAACGTAGCCTCTCATTTATTAACAAACTAAACAACCAATAGGCCAAGGCTTGCGGCACTATTTAGGCACATGACGCTGGGTTCTCGAATATTTAGGCACATGGCGCGCGCTCTCATCATGGGGCCTTAGCGCATGTGAACATATATATATATATATAAAAGAAATACGAACAGATATTTTAATCAACTTAACATCATTAATGGGCCTTCATCCTTGAATATTTCTAAGTAAGGCGACTTAAAATTTTTCATGAAGTACATTTGAAACGACATCAACTTGCACTTTGTACAAGCATAAATTATTTCTCTATTATAACTGTAACATAAAGCAATATGGAATAACAACGTCATCATGTATAACGGGAGGAAAAAAAACCCCCAACTATAGTTTTAATAGCACCGCATCCATACCTTGAAGCTATAACCCTGATCAATCAAAAATTGCTGTCTTTTAGTTGAATAGTACATCTCCTGCATTTGTACAAAATTACTGTGAGGCAGAGACAAAATATGTCTACAAACAGCTCCCCATCAAACAACTGTTAGGAACCGCTGGAATTTAACGAATAGAGAAGCAAACAGTGCCTGTGTATCTGTAGACACTAATGAATAGAAGAAAGCATTGTACTCTTCTTTCCCACCAGCCATTCTGTCTTGTAGCCGGCCCTAGATGAGGTTGAAAACTAGTGGTTTCAAATGTCAATCAGCTTTGACAACAAAAGATGACACGATAGTAGTTACTACTACCTTTGCCCTGAGAATACGGCCCAAACGCTGAGCCTCTTGACGGCGTGAACCCGCATGAGATGAGATCTGTATTATCACATTGGCTTCTGGAATATCAATTGAGTTGTCACCTACCTTTAAAATAAATGCAGAACAGTGTTCAAAGCTAGCATTTAAGGGGCTATTGGACAATAAGCACAAAAGTTACTAAAATCATTTTGGTGCTTCAAAAATGATTTTTTTAATTAACTTTTTTATTTTTGAATAACAAGATGTAAAACCACATAAATTTAGACTTAGTTGTTAAATAATATTTTTAACAGTAGATCATTATGTCAAATGATCATAGCAGTTATGCTTTTGTTTGTCAAAAGAAAGAGCTTTCATAAATAAAAAAAACTCGCTTTCATCCAGATATTGAATCAGCATCATGGGAGCTGAAACAAAATGCCATAAAAAACTGCCATTAGTTACAGCCAAATTTGCATACGACAACCCCAATCATCAGTGATCATTTCTAATATCGCTTCTAATGTACTGTGATAAATCAAAATATAATCTTGACTTGAAAATGAAGAAAATTGAAAGCATATTTCCGTACCACTATAAGCATGATCCATTGTTTTCTCATTTCAGATTTACTTTAATCCACAAAAGCTTTTTCACTTTGTTCCAATCGCCTTGGTTCAAGAAGAAATCTTTAATGCTCAAAATTTTGCAACAAATTTAACACATTTTATAAGGATTTTCAATATTTTCCTTCTACCATGCCACAATACATGTCAATATAAAGATTACCTTCCTCTTGAATTTGAAAAAAAAAAGAACTAGTGATAGGTGAGTACAATGACACGTTGCTTATATTAGAGTAAGCATTATATTAGGCAAACCACCTATTTAAAGCAGGTAGACAACATTGATTCCTTTGTCCTTTTGACATTGTATTTTATTTCTTTACTGAAAAAGGACTCCCTACTAAACAATAGATGGAAAATGTACTTTCCCCGTCGACATGATATTAGAGTGAGGTTATTATTAACCCTAGATATTGCTGCACAACCTTTCCTTCTCCCAACCTTCCCTCTCGGCCTTGAGCACGTTCATCATGATAAGGTAAACCCTATCCCACTAGAACTTTCCACATAGTACCACAAACTCGGAAGCTTAACTGTCGCAACATTACTCGCAAGCCTTGATCTCATTGCCCTACAAACCTAGTCACACCCTATAACAAGAACCCACCAGTTCTGCTACTAGCAAGCCCTCATATCGCTTACTCGACCCCATTCACATTTTACCCTAAAGCAAAACCAATTTTAGGATCATTGATGCCTGATTCAACATGACCTAATTTAACTCTCAGATTCTCCAACCCTTCAATGATGTCATGATGTCACGGCCTCTCAAACTTCACTTCATCACTAGAGACCTTTCTCACCATTGTTACCACAATAAATTCATTGATATAAACTATCCCCTATATCGAGTGCCTATCTTTTTCTTGTTGGTTCACATCAAGCTCCATCATCCAAATGCTTCTCCTATATATCACAAAGAGAACATCAAGTTTTTAAATGACAAACATTTGACTATATTATTACGTGGTTGTTCAACATTCATGAATGATTGCTAGGAAAATATGACGCTTTAACATTCCAATTTTACTATATTATTAGAGTAACTCAAAATATATATACTTTCTATTCATAGATATTTTTTCATTAGTAGAATCATCAGCTATCCAAGAATACCATGGTACCCTACAATAAAATGGGCTGAGTTATTCTAATACCCTGGGCTAGCCAAATGTTCTATTATTGCCTTATTGCCATGTTAAGATAATTTAAAATTCAATGCTTACATATTTAAATGCATTGACAAATGTTATCAATGCACTGACACCATATGTTTTCTGCTTGAAAATATTTTGCATGGTTTAAAGCCTTAGCATGCTTTTCAAGACAAATTAAAATACTCAAAAGTATTTTGTTTTATCTCATATTTTTTACCATATGATCATACTTGCAATTTATGTCATTAATATAACTTCTACAATTCATTTGCTTATCCATTTATTTTTATATATAGATAGGTTTGGAGGCAAAGATACTTCTCAAAGCAAAGCAAACATATTAAAGCCAAGATAGAATCAAATAGAAGCTGTAAATAATGCTATGTCAAAATCATTATATAAAGTTGTATGCACAATAGCTATTTTTTAATTGGGATATTCCTTTTGCAAGACCTACCTTGTGAAAAGTAGAAAAAATTAAGAGATTATTCCTTTATGAAAATATGACACTTAGTAGGACACAATAGAGAAAAAAGATCAATGTAACCGAACCCATTTTGTCGGATAGACTTTTTTTTTTTGGCAAAAGATAAAAACTTCAGAGGGGGAAGCGGGGAGGGGAAGGGGATTTGATGAATAGAATGTAATGGAATAATATCGCTTGACTATTGTTGAGTTTGTCTCTCATGGATTACAATAAAATATTATTTGTTCAATATTAGGGGAGTATCAGTAAGAATCAACGAGCTACCTCATTTTAAACATCATTATTTTTTTCTTTTTGGTTTTTACCCATAGATTACAAAGTAATAGATGCAACCTAGCCAATTCGCTTGTTCTCCCCCGACCTATCACCAATTAGAGGTGGCAAGCATGTTGGCAATGTTGTAGGCATGTAATTTTCTAACCTACCAATACCTTAAAAGAAAGAAATAACCAATAAGATTTTATCACAGATGAACACCACTGGATTTCTTTTTTGCATTCATCCATGTGAACCCAATTCAAAAATAAATAGAGAGAGACAAAACTATATCTGGATCACGGATTCCACGGAAATCAATATACGAGGAAGTCTACAAACTATGACTCGCATACATTCTTTTGCAATTAGTGAATAAGTAACTATCTTGTTGCATTTTACATTTATTTCTTTTGCTTACCACACTAGTATTTAAAAGCATGATAATAACATGTAATTATTCTTTGATTGGCAGTCAATGTTATTGAATGCCTTGACAACTAAACCATAAAGGAAGTCCCTTCGAGGGCACGGCACAGATCAAAAGTCAACGAAGGGAGACAAAACTTTGAATGGATCAAGTATTGCACAAACATAAAGGTCGTCAAGCTCTGTCAAATCAAAGATCAACAGACTAAGTCCTTCAAATTTCAGTTGGATCAAATATTAATGGATGCAATATTCTTTCAAACTGAGCCAAATTAAATATTTATGATTTCAAAGAAGAGTGAAACTCTTTAAAGGGCCAAATTAGTAAGCAAAAACAAAAGTCTTCAAACTTTGGTGGCATCAAAAGATCAAAGGATGTGCCAAATTGTGATTGGAATATAGATCAAAGGATGGGGAGCTCATGAAAACCAAGTTGAATCAAAGAATGAAGACATGCTCTTCAATTTAGAAAGGACCATAGATCAACAACTCATTAATGGTTCATCCATATTTGCTTGGTGAAAGAAATGTTGTGGAATAGAAAACTAAAAATTATCCAAGTGTTTATGCGAAAAAGTGTTCGATTTGAGCCAAGCAAAAAGATTTTCTGGTAGTTGAACTTAAGGATGCATAGCTTGACAAAGTAAAGGCACAATTGCTAGAGAAGAACTCAAGAATATTTGCACTCAGGCATAAGGACGAAGGAGAACCATGCAAGTTGCATGAGTTTGAGTGAGAAGCAATGGGCATATACAAGTATGATGTTATGGTATACGATGTTGAGTGAAGGATGTGTTGGTTATAGAGATTAACATGATGAACAATAAGAGTAAGAAAATTCAAAAAAGAGTATCCATCATTGAAACTGTGTATCAAACCTAGAAGGGTCTAACAGAGAGCGCAAAACATGTTTATTATGGAAACAAATAAATCCAAAATTTCTATAGTATGAAGCTTGATATTAGGCAATTTAATTAGAGATCTAATTACATAATCTTTTATATATTAGAGATATTCCTAGCATATAAACTAGAAAGTGTATATAATTATAAAACACATTTTTTTATTTGAGGAATAAGAAAAGGAGCAATGTTTTCCTCACATGGTATTAGAGATTATCAAATTATTCGTGTCTGTATCGTTTGTATTCCACATTAGTCTCTAGGAATCATTTGTCTTCGGTTTCATGCAAGTCATCTGAATTGCTAGACTTCGACGTCGTCTACATCGTTAAACGTCGATGGCGTATTCAGACTCATCTACACATCTGATGTCGTCAGCATCCGCTTCGTCTCCATCTGGCATCGTTTGCCTCGCTAAGCATCCACAGCATATTCGGGGTCGTCTGCATTTGCTTCATCCGCCCAATCTGTGTTGATGAGATATTCCCAACCTATAAATATGGGATATTAGGCAAGCTAATTAGAGGAGATCAAATTACAGAATATTTTTCATATTAGCGATATTCGTAACCTAAAAATGTAGGAGTGTATATAAATACGCAACATGTGTTTGGATTTGAGGAATCAGAAAAAGAGGGATGCTTTCCATCAAATGGTATCAAAGCCTCATTGAATCGTTCACGTCTGTGTGCATCTTCCACATTACCCTCTACGAATCAATCGTCTTCAGTTTTGTTCGGGTCATCTAGATTGTTAGACTTCAATATCGTCTACATCACTAAGCGTCAACAACATCTTCAGCTTCATCTGCATCATTTGACGTCGTCTCCATCTGCTTCGGCTTCATCCAACGTCGTTAGTGCTCTGTTTCCATCAGGCATTGCCTGCATCTCTAAGTAACAACAACATATTCGACATTTTTTACATCTGCATCGTCAACCCTATCTTTGTCAACGAGATTAGGGCATCGACAAAGCCGAAATCAGCTTCAGTCGCTCATTTTGCTTCGGTTTGTTTTGTCGCTTAGGTCAATTTTCTCGATTGTTGCCTTTGGCTACTTAGTTCTACTTCTTTGGCTTCGCTCTTTTTTTTTTCTTTATTCGGCAGTATTTGAATTGTTAGTCGTTAAGTTATTTGTCTACTAGTCATTTGACCGCTCCTTCAGCTCGTCCTTCAACGCTAAATGACATTGGTTATGACTGGCAAATAAAATCAACCTGAGACTGTAGCAAAGATTACGGATAAAAAACTAAATAGCATCAATTATTTTTATTAAAATAAAATTATGAGTTTATTTAATAAATGTTTCTCAAAAAACTGATAATCTCCCAGTTGAGACTGAGTTAAATTATTCTGAGTAGATAAGAGTAGTTGCCCAATTTTTGAAAACAATATAGAACTCTATCGAACCTAATTAATATGGTCATATTACTCATTGTAACTGTATTAAGGATGTGATGGAAGAATTGACATTTGTATTTTCTTGGAGAATATTTTTCAAATCTTTGATGTATGCAAGAAGTTCTATCGAGTTGAAGAACATGATCAATCACTTCATACTAGGGCTATCAAAAAAGCTCGTTGTTCGCGAACAGCTCTTGTTCGGCTCGTTCGTAAAGTAAACGAGCCGAACACGAACAAGTTTTTAAAGCTCGAATTATAAACGAGTCGAACACGAACAGCTCTTTGTTCGCTCGTGTTCGGCTCGTTTTAGCTCGAAATAAAAAAATTATATAAGTATTTTTATAATAATATATTACATAAATTATTTATATAATAGTATATTATATATTTGTATCTAAATTTAAATCATAACATCTCATGTGTTAAGGTGGTTAGTGTTTTATTTTGTACACATTTGGTCCAGGTTGGAATCCTACACTTTATATCTATTTTTTTCAATTTAATTTTAACAAACTAATTTCGAGTCGAACATGGACACAAATATTTAAATCTAATCAAGCACGAACACACTGTTTATGAGCCGATTTCGAACACAAGCTAATTTCGAACATGAACTATTTCGAACAAGTCGAACACGAGCCAAGCCTGAGCTCGCTCAAGCCGGCTCGTTTACAGCCCTACTTCACATATCACATGCACTTCAAATACAACAACAAAACCTTAATCCCACTACGTGGGGTCAACTACATGAATCCTTTTTCTCCATTGCGTCCTATTTAGTGTCATATTTTCATTTAGTTCTAATAACTTAAGATCATTATTTATTCAATAAGCCCAAGTCTTCCTAGGTCTACCTCTGCCTTTCATACACATGCACTTCAAATGTGTATGAAAAACTGAATGCAATATTGCCCTTCAATGCCTATGTCCTGATTCACCGGGCTTAAAGAAAACAAATGCCTATTATGAGTATTCTAGCTTTCTAACTACCCTCAACTCTCAATATAAATGTGTCAAATCACAAATCCTATTTGACCCTAGAGTTACTACTCTGAGGAAAGTCTATACTTGAGTGTTGCATACTATTCTGAGTTCTCAGGCTTCAACCATGGAGCAACCTAGTGCTCTTGTGAGTCAGAAAAATACATACATTAGTAAACATCCGTCTCAAGATAATTACAGAAGTGGAACTCTGAATTATGAAAATCAAGGGTGACGACGGTAGTGTGTTGCCACTGGCATGAATCTGGATACGAAGAGGACATGTCAAAAGCTGCTAAAAAAAGAACAATAAATGTTCTAGATCATATTCCAACATTGGTCAGCTTTGGAATAAATATTATGTTACCTTAAAGGGGCTTCTGAACAAGATATTTTATATCAAAATTATGGGCATAGAAATATTGAATGTTTCTATGATACATATTGGGCAAGTTCCAAGTTTAATCAAAGATCCATTATTGGATATTATGTCTTTGTTAGTGGTAATTTGTTCTCATGGAAGAGTAAGAAATAGAATGTAGTGTCACGGTCCAATACAAAATCTAAGTATCGAGTGATGGCCCAAACTTGGAGTGAATTCATATAAGTCTCCCAACACTTGATCAAAATGAGATTTAAGATGGCAGTTTCAGAAAAGTTGTGGTGTGATAACCAAACTATAATTCATATCGCATCAAATCCTGCATTCCATGAACAAACTAAACAAATTGAGATAGATTGTCATTTTGTTCGTGAAATGATCTACCAAAATTTGATTTCTACAGCTCATGTGAAATCTGGCGAACAACTAAGGGATATCTTTACAAAGCCCTTAATAAATCTAGGATTACTTATATTTGTAACAAGTTGAACATGCTAAATATCTATGCTCCAGCTTGAGAGGACTGTTATAGAAAAAATTAAATCTAAAGCTTGTATATTAGGAAGCGTGTATTTTAGGCAGCCTGATTAGAGGATATCTAATTACATTATCTTTTCTATATTAGAGATATTCCTAATCTCTAAACATGAAACATATATTTTTCAATTTGAGGAATAAGAAAAAGGGAGCTGTTTTCCTTCACAATGTTAGAGCAAAAAGAAGGAAAACAAACACAAGGGCAGAAAAGAAATGTAGCTAGACATGTATTGGAGCGGGAGATTGTGTGAAGCAAGGTATCGAGGAATCAGATGGACAAAGACATCTATTTTATTTTTCTTCCATTTTTTTGTAATTAACACATGCTTCATTAAGTGTTAAATAAGACTAGTTTTTACTAAGTTCCAACTTCCTGGAAATGGAAATCAAGCCTTTATGATTCAATAATGCTCACAAGTAAATTTTGAGCCCATGGGTTAAGCTGCCACTTTCGGTGAATCATGGTGATCAGTTATTTCAACTGGATTTTTCCATGACCATATCTCCAACAAAACATCTACTTTCAGTGATAATTAGTAAGCATTCAAATGCAACAAGAAAATCATTAAATCAATAAGGCGTTATATATTGTTAAATTTGAAGGATTATCTACAAAATTGTTTTCTAGAAGGTGAAGTATTTAAGATGCTTATCTCTTCATTTGAAACTTCTATGTTATCCTTGCAGTATTTTTAAACCTAATATGCATGACAGTTCAAGACCGTCAACAAAAAAAAAACATGTACATTGAGTATATGTATCTCTTGACAAATGTTCTGTTTACACAAAGCTTAACAAGACGGCTTTCATTAACACATTACTTCACATTATTTACTGGATTTCAAAAATAATGTCCTAAAATGCTTAGTTCTCAATAAATAATTCATACAGAGTTTGCCATTGAAACTGAAAAAGGATGTGGGGGATAGGAAAATAAAACTTATATATAAAAATGCAGAGCATTATGAAATATGCTTTAGTTTATGTAGATATTCCATAATGAACAAATATTAAATTTACAGCACATTTGTAGTTTTATTTTTTAAATTTATTATTTTTAACTTAAAGCTACGGTATGACAGAGAAGTCATCCAAACAAAAGAAAATGGAAGCCACTTAATAGTACAAAAAAATAAATCTAATTTGTTATCAAGCAAATTTCTTTAAATTCAATCTAATTTGTTATCAACCATAAATTCTCTTGACAGCCACAAAGTGACATTCGATGAAACTTTGGCAACTTGTTACGCGTGTGGTATTGTGTCCTCAATTGTTTATTCATTTTTTTCACCCACCCTCAAAAGGAACATGACTCTACAAGTTTTCAGAAAATAGCATCAACATGAAATGGCAACGACTAGGCTCTTCACAGTTACCCATTAAAATGAATAGTAGAATATATTCCATTTCAGTCTTATCCAACTCTGATAAATATATGAATGCTGGATTTGCATGCATTAGTGCATTCTATATCATTAAACAACATAAAAGTTCTAGCATTCGACGGAAAGCCATCCTATGAAAAGATACTAGAATTCACTCCATACAGAAACAAGAAGACTAAAGTTCAATTTAATTTAGAGGATATACCTTAGAAAGAAAGATTGTATTAACATCAGGACTATGTTTGAATGCTTGAAGTATTCTCGTTCTTTCCTGGTGGCTAAAAATAAGATAGATGGGATATTAACATGAATAAATCTAAAAAACTTAAAATTGAGATATCAAATATCATCAGCTAACTGTACCTGGTTGCACCATAGATCATAGGTTTCCTAAGTTTCATTGCATATGCTGTGAGTGCAAACAGATTATCCGCAAAAACAATAATCTTATCACCACGCTGTTGCTCATGAAAACGAATTAAAAACTCACAAGCCCTGAATTTATTAGGATTCATGACATATAGAGCCTGAAAACAAACATGACAATAAATAATATGTAAGCAATAATGCATCATAGAATAAACGAGGCATTATGAATCAGAATTAATAAGAGAACAGAAAAAATAGCTAACTTCAAGAAGCATAAACTGCAAAATCATTGGTGAGTGATAATCAAACACTAATTCACTAAAGTAATGTTACAAATATACCGAACGTGAAAACCTTCCTAATATCCTACGTTGTTATTTTCTTGACAAACAAATAGAAGACCGGTCCTAAAATAGTTCAATCTATTAGTTTAATTTCATGAGTTCCAAAGAAATAAGGTATGGGCACAATAAAATAATACAATATATGTATATGGACCTTTAATAAATGTGATAACGCTAATGATGGTTGATAAGTGGTGATAATGCAAATCCTGAAAAAGTAGGGTACAAGTTCACAAAAATATATACATACATTACATGCATATGCATGCATACTTGTTTAAAAAAAAAAAAAAGATCCATGACTTCAAAACAATATGGAAAACCCAAAAGAAACTTTACCATAAAGGTAATGTTTTTTAGCATGTATAGATATGGTTTGTAAGATTATTATGAGAATAAAAAAGTTTGACCGGTCTATTATGCCTCCGTATCAATACTGAAATACACAAAGATTCTTTTTTTTAGGACTAAGTTGGCGTATCTGACATGGTTTGAAACCATTTGAAAGCATTAGAAGGGATGCATTAAAAGGCATATTAGACATTATATTTGAGGAATAACCAACTAACTGAATATCAGAAATTTATAAGACACTATCCCGCTCTTCGGAAGCACCTCTGCTTCATAGTAGAGAATGTTAACATGTCAATACTAGTAATCTAAGAACAGATAGGCCAATTTTTCATGTCAAAACAAAAATATCATCCCTGCGGTGACCTATGTTTATACGATAAAAATAACAAAGCAGCCAACATCAAACATTACAAAGTGCAGTTCAGTTTTAACTTAGATAATTATAAGCACTAGGGAATAAAGAAATGCCACAGTTTAAAGGGCCTCTATTTTAAAATAGCATGTAGTTACAAATATCTTATTACAAGCATAAGATCGACTGCATTTTGGATTATATACCTGTTTCTTCTTGGAGTTTTCTTTCTTCAAATACTCTGCAAAGAACTCTTTCGTCATGGGACACCATACTTCAGCACACTGAACATTTGCTATGAATCCTCCCTTCACTAGATCAAGCCAGTTAGCTTCATATAGTTTAGGTCCAATGAGGAAATTCAAATCTGTTATGCGCTCATCCTCTCTCACAAGTGTTGCTGAAATGGTTCAAGAAAAGTGACAAGGAATCAGAACTACTAAAAAGAGACAGATTTAATGAAAAAAAATCATTTGTCTAACCAGTTAGCCCAAGTTTGCAATGAGATTTTGTGATACTAATGACTTTACGAAACATGTGTGCAGGAACAACATGCACCTGAAAAACAAAGATACATTAGAAGACTCCAATTCTTCGGTCGTAAGATAAGAAATTCAGAATTGAAGCAACATTACATTGAAACGATGCATTAATAGCAAAATTTAAATGCTTCTATTGCAACGATAAAGACATCTTACCTCATCCATGAGAAGCAAACCCCACTCTCTATTCCTAATTTCTTCAATGATTTTCTCAGAATCTTCAGAGCGTTTGCCACCAAAAGCAACCATATTATATGTTGTCACAACAACACCAGCATTACCACGAAACTTTTCCTTGTTATCAGATGTGAAACGACAGATCTGATCATCTCTAATAGTAGACCAAAGTTTGAACTGAAAAGCCCATTGATCCACAGAAACAGCATTGGTAGCTAAGCAAAGGCAGCTTTTCTTTATTCGACATGCTGCAGAAACACCAACCAATGACTTTCCAGCACCACAGGGTAATACTATGATACCAGATCTTGCTCGTCCTGCAATTTGAGAAAAGATGGTTTAAGAAAATCTTCATAAACAAAATAGTCATCAAAATATAAATAAAGATATGTATGAGTAGTGCACATTTGCTGGCAACCAAAAATAAGGAAAAAAATTCTTTATTAGATTTTAATAACACAAAGAGGACAACATGATAATATTTTCAGATTCATATTTGATTAGAGATTATAAGAGATATTTTTATCTAGTTATAAATTTAGGATAGTACCTTGCCTTACCTAAGTATTAAGCACTAGTCTACTGGCACTTGGTTAAGCATACTCATTTTTTTCTTAAATCAATAATATTACAACAACAACAACAAGAAGTCTTTATCCCACTAAGTGGAGTCGACTACATGAATCATTTCTCACCATTGTGTCCCATTGAGGGTCATATTTTCATTTAACTCTAATAAATTAAAATCATTTTTAATACAACATGTTCAAGTGTTTTTAAGTTTATCTCTACATTTCATACAACAAGCCCAATCTAAAACAACTACTCTCCTAATAGATTCATCAGATGGTCGATGTTTAATGTGATCAAACTATCTAAGGCGACTTTCTCTAATCTTGTTTGTTGTTGGAGCTACTCCAAACCTTTTCACAAATATATTTGTTTCGCATTGTCTCTCAGTGCAAAGTCACTCATCCGCCTGAGCATTCTCATCACAACAAAACTTTATTTAATTTTATGTGTGAAAAAGCATTGCAGGTTTAACCACCATCGTATAAAATTTTCCTTCAAGTCTAAGTGTTAGTTTGCATTCCTCCACTTCAACCATCCAACTTGAATTCTATTAAAACATCCCTCATCTATATCATTGTTACATTGAATGATAGATCTGAGATAACTAAACGTTCACTCATTTTAATGACTTGATCGCCCCTTATTACAACCTCGCTAGTAGATCTAGTATTATTAAATTACATTCCATGTATTCAGTTTTAGATCTACTCAAACGAAAGTCTTTAGAATCTAAGGTTGACCTCCATAATTCAATTTATTTTTTCCAAAGTCTCTTTATAGTCTTAGCCACAAAAAGGATATCATCAGCAAAAAACATACACTAAGGTACATCCTCCAGTAAATGTCTAGTAAGAACATCCATAACGAAATAAAAAAAAAATGGCTTAAAGCCAATTCTTGATGTAATCCAACCGAAATAGAAAAATACGTGGTCAATCCTAGTGTTTGAATACAAGTAACAACTCTAGTAAAAAAATCATTAATGGCTTGAACGTAAGCAATATCACCACCTTTCTTCTCTAGAACTCTCTAAAGTACATCTCTAAGAACCTTATCATAAACATTTCTTAAATCAATAAAAAAACATATATACATCCTTCTTATCCTCTCCATACTTCTCCATCAAACCTCTCAATAAATATACAGGTTTCATAGTAGATTTGTCCGGCATTAATCCTATTTGATTTTGAGATCGTACCCTATGTTCAATTACTTAGTCCCATAACTTTACTTGATGACACATTAACTTAATTCCATTATAATTTATATACCCTTGTGCATCTCCTTTATTCTTAAAAATAAAAACTTATAGAATACTTCTCCACTCATCAGACAACCTTTAGTTTATAAAATAATATTAAAAAGTTTAGTAAGTCAAGAAATTATTAGATTTCCTAAACACTTCCACTTATATTAAAATACCATCAGATCCTACTGTTTTTCAACATTTCATTTTTTTAAAGCTTCAACAACACCTATTTTACCAATACGAGACTGAAAATAAAAAAATTTAGCATTATTTATGATAATAAGATTACTAAAATCAATCACATTTTGACAATCTTCATTTAAACGTTTATCAAAATTTCACCCATCTATGTTAAATATCCTCATCTAAAAATAATACTTTTTATTTTCATTTTTAATGCTCTTGAACTAAAATTTTACTTTTATTATCCCTTTGTTTGACGAGTCTATACATATATTTTTAACAATCTTTTACTTTTATTATCCCTTTGTTTGACGAGTCTATACATACATTTTTAACAATCTTTAGTACCTAATCTATTATAAAGATTATTAAAAGCAAAATTTTTAACATCATATATTATTCTCTTAGACTCCCTATATGTCACCTTATATTTTACTAATTCTCTAGATTTTTACATTTATACAAATTTTTATAACAAAATTTCTTATTTTTTATCTTTTCTTGCTCATTAGTATTTCACCACCAAATATTTTATTCATGAGAGTTTTTTCTTTTGTTTCTCCAAACATATATTTTGTTTAATAGTGCTCATTAATTTATTCGCATAGTATTAATTTTTTCATCAACATTCCAAATTTTAGCATCTTGAATTATACTCATAAAAATAATTTATTTATGTTTTTTAAATGCCTTCATCAAATTTTATGATAATATTTCGTTATATTTTTTATCTTCAAATCATTCAACATAAATTCTCAAACTCATAATCAATGTAACTACTTAAATTTTCACTTTGAATGACTATAATTTTTACCATCTTGACTATCAGTTTTTTTCATAAGAATAATCAATCTATAGTTTATTAGATTCATTCTTATAAGTAATAATATATTTATCTCATTTCTTAAATATAACAATAACAAAATTATAAACTAAATTAAAATATAAGGTGGGTCTACCTTCTTCATTAGTTACTCCAAACTTCAAAAATCTTCTATCATTCCACCAATTTGTCCATTTAAATCTCCTCCAATAATTTTTTTTCAAATCTTTGCATTAATATTCTAAGTAATACCAAAATTTTTCTTTTGAGCATATATCCAAATCTATTTGTGAAGCATAAACACTTATAATATTAAAAATATTAGAATCAAAAACAATCTTTAGAGCTATAATTTTATCTCTAATTCTATTAATCTTTACAAAATTATCTTTCGAACTCTCATCTAAAATTACATATATATCACTTTTAGTAGAACTACCTGAATATTAATGTTTAAAACTAAAACTATAAATCTCTTAAGCATTTCCTCTAACCCATTTAATTTCTTGAATGCATAATATATTCATCTTTCAATGAATCCTAATATCTATTAATTTTATTAATTTACTTGTGAGAGTACCCATATTCCAAGTTTCTATCCTAATATTATTTTTACGTACTAACTTATTTGTTTGTATGCGTCTATAATGTGGGAACCATTGTTTGTTAACACTACATTACGATGTCGGTGCAACGACCCTTGCACACTTGTCATTATATTCAGGTCATACAACATGTCAATTCTTATAGACGCACTAGCATTGACACAGTGATTTAAAGAATTAATGTAAAAAATTTTATACAATTTTTATGTTGATTGTTGACTACCTAACGCAATCTTCCACTCTTAAATCAATGACATTAACTTTTATTTTAGATGCACAAGAAAATCACTAGGACCAAATTTCTTTAACAAGAACGTGAATTTAAAATTTTCCTTCAATTTCAACAATTAAGAACAAACATCAATAAATGAACATTCTTCTAGGTTTACAATACTATAAATGAAGCAAATTACAACAATTTAAGTGCATAACGCAGAAATTTGAGAGTTTGTAATCTTATTCGTAGACTTAAATAATTAGTAATACTTGTCAAGGAAAGACATTTTATGCAATTCTAAGTTATTTAAGGGTCCTCAAATTTACAAATCAGTAACTAGATTTTGTACAAAAGAAGACCAACCATTTCCAAACATCTTGCTAAGGCTCTTTTCTTGGTATGGCCTTGGTTGAGCTTGAGGTTTCAATTCCATGTTCAAGTCAGGATTGACCTGTTAAATAGTCCAGAAAAGTAATATAAAAATCTACTTACAAAGAAAATAAACATTTCACGAAATCAAAGTCTACCTTATAAACTATCAATGAAGCGTGCATAACAAAAAAGAAACAAATTGAGAAAATGGTCGTCTTTCTAAACATAGCACAAACAAATTCAAAATATCTTTGAAATATGGTAAGCGAAAATATAGGCATCAATTTCAGAGGTAGTTGAACCACATAATTGAATATTTTACTGAATAGTACAAACAGTTATTCCAAAGCATAACATAATTAAAATAAGTGCTTTTTTAATATTAAAAAACAACACTTAGCTTTTTTTTTTTAGAAAGATTTTAAATATCACGATTTTTCATTTGCATTGGAATTAGGGCTGTCAAAAAAGCTCGTTGTTCACGAACAACTTGTGTTTGGCTCGTTAAGTAGCTCGTGTTCGGCTTAATTGTTAAGTAAATGAGCCGAACACGAAAAAAATTTTAACTAAAAGTATAAACGAGCCAAACATAAACAACAATTTGTTCGCTCGTGTTCAGCTTGTTTTAGCTCGAAATAAAGAAATTACATATTTTATTTATATAATAATATAGTATTTATATTATTTATATTATGATAATATATATATATATATATATATGTGTGTGTGTGTGTGCGCGCGCGCAGCAAGCCTTGGCCTGTTTTGGCCTGTTGGTGGTGGGGTCACTGTAAGTCCTCTCAGGTCAAGGGTTCGATCCCAACGTGGCGCGGGGCTCTGAAATATTAAGCATATGACGCAGACATCCAATCATATGTGCCCGAGCGCAAAGGAGAAGTGGTATTTCGGGCTCACCAGACTCAAATCCAGTTAGAATAAGATAATCATATACACACCACCTCCAAATACCTAATAAAAAATTTTCACAAATCTTGCAAATCGTGCAATGCATTATAGATCGCAGCAAAAGGTTGTCGCGACACCCATAGAAAATAGATGAAAGGACACCTAGACTTGGTCATATGAAGGGAAGGGTAGGTTGAAGATTTTGTATTAAGAAGTCAAGCTTGGATAAAATTTGCCTCTGACAAATTGTCCAATTGATATTCAAGTTGATAAGGAAATAATTATTGTATTTCATAAAAAGAAATCCAAAAATCATCAATACAAACTAAATGATTTCATACGTAATAGTTTTAAGCAAGAGGTCAGTAAGATAGTTTGGCTAATTACATGGATAATCCGCTGTACGTGAAATTCGAATGATGCAAAAAGACAGAAAATTTCAAGGCATTGATTACTGATTCATGATAAGAACAAAAGAAAATTAAATTTTAGACAATTGTAAAAATTTTATAAGATATCCAACTTATTATGCAACAATATATAACCTTTTCTAGCAAATATTAAGAATACACGAAAGAAATTTTGAGGTAGTTAAATCAATTAATTCCATTGGTTTCCGATTCACCTCCTCAATAAGCTTATATACTATAGATGGAAAATAGTAAATTTTCTACTAATATTTTTGCTCCTTTTCTCATTTGAAATCTTGACTATAATGATTGTTTTCTTTCCTTCCTTAACCTAAGCAGTGACAACATCAGTTGATACGCATGCGCCAGTTCAAGATGACGGAATAATCATCAAGAGCAGGAGAGTCGAGTCAACCCAAATTGGGCCAATATGCACCGGCCAAACCAAACCAACCCAGCTGACAGCCAGACCGAGCTAGCCGGCCCAGCATAGAAGGGCAGGATACCTAGAAGAGGCTAAGCACGTTTTCAATACCCAGGTGGGGTCCACACAACCACTAATCACGTAAAAGAGGTGGGAAAATCAAGGCGAGTTTTGGGGGAAAAGTTTGAAAGTAGATCTTGGAGAGTATTTATCAGGGCTAATTGTTTAGGGTTGATTTTAATGATTTGTTTGGCTGTAATTTTTCTTTTATCTTGGTGTTTCTAGCAGCGTCTAGAGTTGGTGGATCGACGATCTTCCTATCAAATAATAGATCAACATTGTATCTTGTTTACTTGTGTTGGTATTAATAAAATCAGCTCTCATTTGAGTTCCCCCATCTCGCTATTGCAATTTATTCGTTGTTTGTTCATTGTTTTTGTTTTTGGGTCGTATCAAATTGATATCAGAGCCAGATCTTGGAGGAATGATAACAAATAAAGTGGAAGTGTTAGAAAGAGTACGACAAATCAGATCGAGAATGAAAGAAAGATTCGCCACCATGGATGTTAGATTTTCTTCCATAGAGGCCTGAATGGAGAATCGATTCAGGAGCATGGAGGAAATAATGAAGAGACTCCTATAGATGCAATCGAAGACCCCGCCGATGCTCAAATTGCAAACCCTAACCAAGTGTTAATCAAAGAATCATTGGTCATATTGAATGGGAAGGGGAACGAATGAGAGGGTGCTAAGTTGCAAAGCATCTATCACAAAGAGCTCACATCTATGACTCTGAGAGGAGGGGGTGGAAAACTTACAAGGGAGGGGGATGGGCTGATATTGGAGGGGTGCTACAAGGGGCACAGAGGAGCACAACTAAGGAAGAAGAGAAGCGGGAGGGGGTATGACTATGACTGAATGAGGGAGTTTCACTCCAGACACATGGGGAGACGTCGAAGGGAGAGAGTTGGAATGGCGATACTAGGGAAAGGAAACTTAAAATGCCACTACTTGAACAGGAATATGCACATGAATGAGTTCATCGGCCGGAGCGATACTTTGCAGTAAATGGTTTAACTGGGGAAGAGAAGCTCATAGTAGCAGAATTATGTTTGGAGGAAAAAGTCCTATCATAGTTTCAATGGATGGAGATGAGCTACCCAATACATTCGAGGGACGAGTTTAAGGATTATTTACTGGTACGTTTTCGAGTCCTCTGAGAAAGACCTATATGAGCAATTCTATGCTCTAACTCAGGAAAGGATGATAAAAAAATACAGGGTAAAGATCGAGCTTTCCGGGGGCAATTCAGACTAACAAGAGAATTGAGGGAGATGATGAAGCCTGCCCAGATGATGAAAGATGAGATGTAGGTGAAGAAGACCAAGGCTAGCAAAGGTAACACCACGAGGGGATTCTACAAGATTGTGTCGACGGCCATGACACCAAGAACCAAATTGTGTCATTTCAAAAGAGGCGCCAATGGAGAAGAATGCAGGACCCTTTCCGAGGGCTATTTCAAGTGCATCACTGATGCAGAAGTGCAGAATAAAAGAGTGAAATGATTATGTTACCAATGTGACCAGAAGTATGCCTCGGGGCACCATTGCAAGAAGCGTGCACTATAGGTCCTAGTAGTTCATGAGAAGGAGATAGATAGTGAGTATTCTAAGGAAGACATGGTGGAGGAAGATAAGCATTTGCGCTACACTGATGTAGAGGTGTCCCTCAATTCATTGTTGGGATTTACTCTAAATCACACTATGAAGGTGAGGGGGGACGAATCAGGGAGCACTCGATTATGGTGTTGGTGTAGATGGTGAAGCCACATAATTTCATCTCAAATCATGTCGTGGATCAGCTATGATTGGAGCTGCTAGATACGGGGAGCTTTGGTGTCAAGATGGGGACAATGCAGATGGAGAAAAATCGAGGAAATTACAAGGGAGTACCTCTGACACTGTAGGGTTGATAGGAAATAGAGGACTTCCTTCCAATGGACTTAGAAGACACTTATGTGATTCTGGGGGTGAACTGGCTGCAGACACTTAGTGAGATGAATGTGGATTGGAAATCCCTGACGATGAAGTTCAATGGGGAGGGTAGGAAGGTGGTGTTGAGGAGAGATGCTAACATATGCAAAACCATTGTCTCTCTCAAAACCATGGTCAGGACGATATGAGGAACAGGGTTAAAGATATTTAGAGTTGCAAATCATAGAGTAGATCCGAGATCCCAAGTTATAAGAGCCCTGAGAGAGTTCAACAGCTCCTACAGCAGTTACATGACGTATTTCAGCAGCCAAGCGGATTACCACCATGAGCCTGCTATAACATAAAGAAGAGTGTCAATCTTATCAATGTCAGAATGAACCAATATTCTCAAATTCAAAAGGATGAGATTGAAAAGTTGATTTAAGAGATGCTCGATATGGGAATTATCAGGCGCACAGTCAGCTCATTTTCCAGTCTAGTCCAATAAGTAAAAAAAAAAAGATAATAGCTCGAGATTTTGCGTGGACTACCAGGCTTTGAACAAGGAGACTGATGAATAAATTTCATATCCTTGTGATTGATAAGCATTATGAGATAGTTTTCTTCTCAAAAATCGATCTTAAGTTGGAATGCCATCAAATCAGGATTAATCCAACAAATGTGAACAAGGCAACGTTCAGGACACCTGAAGCACATTACAAGTTCTTAGCAATATTGTTTGGTCTCACGAACACCCCAGCCACACTTCAGTCCCTCATGAATAGGTTTTTTCAGCCTTACCTTAAGAAATTTGTCCTAGCCTTCTTCAATGACATTCTGATCCACAGTCATACAGAAACAGAGCATGTGAGGCGCCTGAGGACAGTCTTGGAGACGTTGAGAGAGAACCAGTTGTATGTCAATTAGAAGAGATGTTCCCTTGCAAAGCTACAGGTGAAGTACCCAAGACATGTGGTGACCAGGGCAGGAGTAGCAGCGGACCCGTCCAAAATTGAAGATATAATGGGCTGGCCTTCACCCGAGAGTTTGAATGCGTTGAGTGGATTCCTAGGTCTCACCGGGTACTTTCGATAATTCGCAAAGTGGTACAACGCGATAGCATGGCCGCTGATGAAGCAACTAAAGAAAGACAATTTCAAGAGGGAGGGAGGGAGGGAGGGAGGGAGGGGGTAGCAACATAGGCCTTCTAACATCTAAAGACAGCTATGACCAGCATACCGATATTTTCACTTCAAGATTTTAGTAGAACATTTGTTGTAGAAACAGATACGTCAAGGTGTAGCTTGGAAGCAGTACTCATGCAGGACCAGCAACTGATTGCGTACTTTAGTCAGGTGCTCACAGCTAGGGCGAGACTCAAGTTAGTGTATGAGTGAGAGTTGATGGCTATTGTCTTGGTTACGGTTGGGACGACACCTTATGGTCTGAGAGAATAGAAGAGCTTGAAGTATCTTTTGGAGCAAAAGATGGTAAATTAGGAGTATTAGAGGTGGTTATTCAAGTTATTAGGATATGATTTTAAGATTCAGTATCGGTCAGGATTGAAGAATAAAATCGCAGATGCCCTGTCGAGAAAGAAGAAGGAACCCCAGCTAGCATCCTTATCGATACCCTTGGTCATTTGATTGGGAAGCCCTGAGACAGGAAAGCAAGCAAAATGAAGTGTTGAGGAAAATATGGATGGAGTTGGTTCATGATTCAAACAGCTATCCAGGACATCCATCGAGGGGGCAATAGCTACTCTACCAGGGGTGATTTGTGTTGCCAAGGGAATCAGAGTACATCCCCAAACTTTTGCAAGAGTTTCATAGCAGTACAATTGGGGGACACTCCGGGGTACATAAGACATACAGTTTTCTATTGACAGAGCTTTACTGGGTGGGGATGTGTGGAGACAAAAAGGACATGATGGAACGGTGCAATGTATGCTAATGACACAATTACATGACCATGGCATTAGGCAGGTTACTATAACCCTTAGCTTTACCGGGGAAGATTTGGGAAGAAGTGATGATGAATTTTATAGAGGGGTTGTCACAATCATAAAGATTTATGGTGATCTTGGTGGTAGTGGATCGTCTGAGCAAGTATGCATATTTCATTCAATTACGACACACACACTACGATCTTAGTTGCTATGGTGTTCATACAGGAAGTGGTCATTTTGCACGGAGCCAAAATCTATTTTATTAGACAAAAACAAGGTGTTCCTCAGCAATTCTGGAAGAAGTTGCTCAGTTAAGAGAAGCACAACACAACATCATCCTTAGACCGATGCCAAACGTAGGTGATCAACAAATGGAGACATACCTATTAGATATGCCGAAGCTTTGAGCCAAGTGGATTGTGTGGGTCAAATATTGGTATAATATTTCATATCATACTGCGACACATATCACCCCTTTCAAGATTTTTTTATGGGCGGGATCAATCTCATCTGGTACATTATGGGCATAACACTTCACTAATATCTAGTGTCAATCATTACTTGGAGAAGGACGGAACATTGGCAAAAGTTCAACAGATCATGAAGAAGAAGGTGGACGGACATAGGAGAGATATAGTTCGAACCAAGGGATATGATTTACTTGAAGCTAAGGCCCTACAGGCGGAAGACATTGGCCAGGCGAGGAACGAGAAACTTTATCCACAATATTTTGGACCCCATAAGAATATGACAAGCATTGAGGTAATGGTCTGTCATTTGAAGTTACCACCATCATCATCACTGCATCCAATCTTTCATGTTTCACAGCTGAAGTGGACTATCAGAGATCATACACCATCATCTTTACTACCTCTAACGCTGACAGAGAACATGTAGGTGATTTAGAACCTATAGCGGTCGAAAGAGTGCGCCGAGGAGTGACAGGAGAAAATGAGGTACTGATTAAGTGGAAAGATTGACAGATTATGAACCAACATGTGAGCCTTAAGAGAGTATCCAAAAGAAGTTTTTCATCATTCCACCTTGAGGAAAATGTGTTTTTTTGAAAGGGGAGTGTTGTTACACCTGTGCCTGCTAAGGATGACGAGAGAGCCGAAGAGAGCGGGAGAGGCGAGCCAGTCCAAGTTTGGTCAGTCTAGACTGACCAGACCCATCCAGCCCAGATGACAGCCAGGCAGAGCCGACCAACCTAGCATACAGAGGCGAGATACCAAGTGCAAAAGGGGAATCAAAAGGGCTTTTGAAGAGAGAGTATGAAAGGGATATTGGAGAGAATTTATGTGGGCTAATTGTCTAGAGTTGGTTTTTAAGTTTTGTTTAACTACAGTTTTTCTTTTATATTGGTGTTCCTAATAGCTTCTAGGATTGATTGAGAGACGATCTACCTCTCGAACAGTACATCAATGTTGTATTTTGTTTGCTTTCACTGATATTAGTAAAATCAACTCTCATTTAAGTTCCACAATCTCTCTACTGCAAGTAATTCATTGTTCGGTTTTAGATCGTATCATACTCCCAATCTTCTTCGCAAAAAAAAAATTGATAAAAATATTAATTAAAATTTACAATAAATTTGACTATGATGATGTCTATAACTTCAATTACATCAATTTTTATAATAACTTTTCAAAAACTTTTTGACTTGTGTTAGAAAATTATGTCGTGCTACATCCATCAACAAAGAATTCAAAATTGAAATCTTTTTCTTGTAGTTGTGATGGTATGACTTCATTATAATCCTCCACAAAAAATTCATCATCCATTGATACATTAAATTAATGAATCTTCATCATCCTTTAAATTTTTCTCCTTCAAATATTAATCTTTTAATCTATTATTATACAAAATGCAAGCCAAAAAAATAATCATTGAAGTAGTTAAATGATTTCTCCTCATGTTATGAACTTAGTGATACACTCCAATTCTTTCACACCCTTATGATGAACATGTAAAACCTAGTACTTTAATACCAAATCGTAACAGTCCTAGAATATCATCTCTAAAAAGAATCGTTCACTTAATTAATTTTAGAATATAAATAATTAGCATAATATAAAATTTTTGTGTAATCAAACCAATTATGTTAAATTATTTGAGAAATAGTTTGCTATCGTATCTTCGTCGGCTTGTTGTAAGCCAAATAATCCTTAATAATTTCTAAATTTTATCAGTTAAAGATTAACCTTTGCCATCTCAAAGGAGTTAGCAATCAATATATCCATATAATGGTACAAGCCAAATTTTTATTATTGGATTAGTTGACTTGTTCTTAACATATTAATATGAGAATTATACCCTACCTTTTTTTTTTGGAATTTTTTTTATCACTTGAAACAACAGAGAAATTTGAAATGAAGAACAAACCATGCAGCTAGTTGAGAATCACACCCTCATGGAAGCTCAATCTGTGCCAAACTTACAATAAAATCAATTATGCATTCAAACCACTAACAAGCTTTAGATACAAGAAATAAATTGAAGGAAAGAAGCCACCAAATGAAGACTCACTTATACAATAAGATTATCTCCCTTGAAAAAATTTAGGTCTCTCACGTGATTAAAAAGTGTGCTCATAGAAGTAGAAAGTAGCAAATCCAAATAGATCTTTATTCAGACATAAGAATAAATATTTTTACAAGCTAAAAAATCCTATGTAGTCCTTAAATTTTCCTAAAAATTAAGAAAAAAGGAAAAGCCCAGAGTTAACAAATTCTATTTGCAAGCATCTCACGATTCTTGTTGTAACCTAACAAGCATAACCACAACCCTGCAAAACCCCATTGATAATCCATGAAAATATTGCATTTAACAGGAGGCCTACTTAAGCCTATAAAAGAACAACCCCAAGAATCCTACTAGATTATGATAACCACAAAGACATTGTATCAATTTCACCGCCAAGCACTGGCTGAATACTTAACGCAAATTCTGCCACCAATAGAATGGAAACAGAAGTAAGCCATTGCAACAATAGGAGCTGATAAAAGAGAGTCGCTATACTCAACAACAAAAAGATAGTTGAAGAGTTCCACAGCAATGGTGCATCAAAACAAGTGATGAGAAGCTGCACCGATTGGCACTTCAAATAAATATTAATGCCCTCTCAACTCAACATTATGAGAATAATTTTAACACTGTAACTTACCGTATCATTTCGGAAATCATACTCCTCAAGCATAGGATAATTTAAGGCATTTGGCAAGCATCTTTGTTTTACGTTTTCCACCTGCAAAATTCAATGTTAGGAAAAAGCTAGAGTGGCCACAGATATGATGATTTCAAATGGCAGCACCAATCCTCTAGGAAGCCAAAATGCCACTTAATATTGAAGGAAGAAACTACCTGGGCAGGGTTAATCTCAAAAGAATGAGTTTCCTTTTCTTCTGCAGCAGCAGCTAAATCAGCTCCATCCAACAACCCATTATGAGTATCCATTTCTCCGGGAGTTTTACTTACTGAAAAGGCTTCACCAGATTGAAATTCCTTAAACAAGAAGAAATTGGGCATAATAAATTACAGTCAGAAAAGTTCTGCAAAGCAAAAGATGAAAAGATTAGATGAAAGAAACAAATAAATCCAATTTTTCATAGAGATTATGATATTTTAAAAAGGATGAACAAAGACCTATTCCTGAATATACACAAATAAAAAAAAATTCTAACTGTCTGAACAATAAGATAAAGTCGCACGAAACAATTAAAATACCTACTATAATGAATTAAGGAGCAATATTTTCAATTCTTTAAAAAAGCTATTTATTATCGTCAACAACATTTTTAGCTTTTACCCATTGTGAGCTTTATGAATACCAATGATGCAATAATTTTCTCAAGTAATCAACTCTACTCGGGGCATATCCATTTGCACAACTAGCAAAACGGCCGTAGGTCCAACCTTTTTTCTTATTGATACTTTATAATAAGTTTATCTACCATTCTTATTGTAACATCATTGACAGTCTTTTGTAAAAAACAAAATACATTGTGCATCTTTCACAACTCTATCATCAACAAGGGCTCCTCCCAACATCACAAACATAATATTTCCTCAATGTACTCTTTCAAGTTTCACCACACATCCACCAAAGCATTCTCACTTTTACCATGCAATCTTATTAACATCCTCAGTTTTCTACAGCCAACTTTCTACCAATGACTTTTTATCACCCAATACCAAAATTAATAAGAAAAAAAGTCTTCATGAAATTTCTTTATTGCATGCAACACTCCTAAGTCACTTCCCCATTCTAACCATCAATATAAATTATGAAAGTCATGCCGTCACTATTATCTCTATTCTCTTATACAATACTATCAAACCTAATTAGTAGTTGATCTTCCAGCAATAGTAATTGATAATCACCCAATAAAATTGTATATGAATTTGGCCTTCGTTTTCTAATTCTTAAGACCCTTCTTTTCTAATAATCTTCTCTATTGTTCTAACTCTACACTCATTTTAGTAGCCGTCTCACCTACTATAACTTTATCATGTGCAAATAGCAAATACCAAAATACTTTGATTCGCTTTTGTAAGCAACTTCATACCCAACAAGATTAAACAAATGGAATTACTGCTGAATTGAATGCTTTGGGCAAATATAAAAATCAATTAAATAATTAAACTAATAAATAGATCATATTGAATAAAAATATGCCATGATAGATGCAACCTGTACATTTCCAAAACGTCAGTTTCAAACTCAACATCCTTATCAATCCATCACCAAATTCCATGCAGAAAATAACAAATTTATCACAACCATTTATCCAGCACTATTCTTAAATGACACAAACAAAAAATGGCCACTACACATTAGTTGTAAGAAGGCGGAACGAGTGAAGTTCTCTTATGGTTAATAAATAGCTGCTAAATAAATAAATATAGATTTCAGATATGATGATTCAAGTAAACCAGATGATAAACAAATGAGGATACCTCTAAAGAAATTCTCGCTTTAGAGATAACATCATCCTTAAGCAGTGTCTTCAACACCTGCATTATGTATCACCTTTGATCATTTTCATCAAACAATTGAATGGCAGCCTGTAACCAGATGATGAAAATTACCTCAGGGAACTGTGACTCTATAAAATATCTATTCTTCTTAAGCACCAGTTTAACTTTTCCATAGTTTGCAGTGGAACCATGGATGAAATCAATCATCTCTTTAGGCAATTTAGTCTTAGACAACTTGTTAAGTACATTAATGATCGTTTCCGTCTCAAGCCCAACAGAGACGGCAGCATAGAGCGAATGGGGTGTGAGGTTGTACTCATGCATGGACTCTGGCCTGAAAACAAACCAGACAGGAAAGAAACAAACAAAGCAACCTAAACAGGGTGAAAAATAAAAAATAAAAACCGAACAGAGTCTAAAGAAAAACTCGTCAGTTAAAAAAATAAGAGCAGAAGGACCTGCAAACTGGTTCAGCAATTGCGATGAGAAAATCATAGGCCTGTTTGTACAGCGGCGAGAAGGTCTCGAGGAAGATGCGTCCATCAGCGCATGCCCACAGGGGCCGATTAGAGTGGTCTGGCTTCAGCTCAAGTTTAGTGAAATCCCTCTTGTTGGCCTCTTTCTCGCCTTAGCATGGACAAAACGAAGCATTCCGATTCAATCTTAGGAATAAGAGCGCGAGAAAGATAAAAATCAAAATTAACGGGTATGGAAGAAGGGATACGTTCACGGCTGTCCTCATCAAAGTCTTCTGTGAAGTCCAAATCAACGTCATCGACGAAATGGGCCGCCTGGATGAGAACAGAATCAGAAATACCAAAGAAGAGAATGTTAACGTCAAGCTCCGATTTTGATGTATTCAATCACCTTCGAGGATATTTTCAATTTCTTGCTCGGGCGCCTCCTGTCACCTGAGAGCCGATTTACAAAGAAATCAGGAGATGTCGACAAAGCAAAAGAATTGAGATATTGAGAAATCAGAGATGGGAAAGAGAGAGTGAAAATGGAGAGAGTTACCGTCGCCAGCCATTGGTTGATCGAATGAATTGGTTAATCAAAAGAAGTTATGAGAAAATGGAATTGAACTCGTTGCGGGAGAAGTGCCGGCCTGGCTTCGCTTTCTGAATCCTGAATGATTCCTAAACAATGGGGCAGTCCGGCAAGGGGCCTAGAGCAGGATTTAACCTCGATTTGAACTAAATCCTGTCACGGTCGGTTTGCACAAAATAAAGCTGTGGATCTCATAAATCCGGATTTTGGCCCGGTCTCAAGAAAAAAATATTTGCAAATGCTGTGATATCAGTTTGTAAATTCCAGGAGTTGAAGTTTCTCCTTACTTTTAATAATTTTCGTTTAATTTTGTAATAATTTTCGTTTCGTGTAAATAACGGTCGATGACGTTAATTTTGTAAATTCCAGGAGTTGAAGTTTCAGCATAATCTTCTAAATCTAGATTATTTTTTAATCGTCAATCTCTCTATTTATATTCAAACTTCTTTATTTCTTCTTCCATGAATAATAAATTATTCCTACTCTTCTGCCTGCAATTTGTTATTTAAAGTATAAGGGTTCACACGCTTCCAAAAGATTGTTTAAAAAAATGTTTTCAGGTTTTGAAACTTACTATTCTAGGGTTTTACCATAGAATCTCTGGTTCATCTCACACTTTTCTCTGTGGTATTCTAGAGAAAGTAAAGACTCAGCAAGACCCTCAAGGTCCTTAACAAATAACAGTCTGTCAGCGCTATTTTGGGTTGATTTATGGGGAGTTGCCCGTAAAAAGCTGTCGGTCATCGGAATCGAAATCCCGTCGCCCGCTTCAGAAGGACGTTGAAGTATGAAATCAAACTGACCTCATATTTTTCATAGTTTAAAATGAAAGAGCAATGTA